CTCTCTCTCTCTCTCTCTCTCTCTCTCTCTCTCTCTCTCTCTCCCCCCGTCAGATTTCACAAAGTCATTTTCATGCAAGTATATAATGTGATTTGAACACATCCTATTACCTTCTTTCTCTCTCTCTCTCTGCTATCACTTTGTTTCCTAGACACTTCGCTTCTACTTTCCAGTCATTTGTACACGTAGGATTTTAGTATCAGTGATGTCTAGAATTCACAGTTCTCTGAGAGAGCAAGTATTTGTCTTCTGACACTGACTCAATTGACTTAATATTATTATCTTCAATTGCATCATTTTTTTCTGCAAACACCACAACTTCATTCTTTGTGGCTGGAAAAAGCCCATTGTGTATATGAATCACATTTTCTTCATCCATTCCTCTGTTGTTGGGACCTGGGCTGGTTCTATAACAGCTATTGTGAATCCAGCTTCCAATTAGCTGCCTTCCCTTCCCAGAAAATACAGTTTGTAAAATGCCTTGATTTTTAGAAAATGATATAATATCATGACTTTCCAATAGAAATTTAAAAACATTTATATAGATTTAATATTAAGTTTACTAATAATTTCTTGACACGATTTTGGTCAAACAACCATAATAATTGGTGTTATGATACAGAATATTCCCATTTCCTAAGCAATATCCCAATTATTGACAGCGGGCCATGGGGAATCTATATTTTATGTAGGTATGTTTCCATACCTATCTGTAATATTTTCTTTAAAAATTTTCTGTTACTTTTTTTGTTTGTCTTTTTGTGTGCATGCATGTATGCATGTGTTATGGTGCATGTCTGGACGTCAGAGGACAACTTGTGGATCCCCGGGAGTACAGTCTTGTTGTCAGGATTGGTGGCAAGCATCTTAACCCACTGAACCCTCATATCTATAACATTTTGGTGAACCTGTTCACAGAAGGTTCTGGGAGTATGCCCCTTCAGAAACCTCAGAAAATATCTCCCTGGAATGAATAAATTTATATCGAGAGAAACTAACAATATTTCCCTTACATAATCTAAACCTATCTATATTTAAATTTAGCAATGATATTTCTGAAATGACTTTCAAGCACTTTATTGACTGAGCCTTCTCATCAGCCCTACTATTTGATTTTGTAGTGCAAAATAGAATTTTATATCAAGATCTGGCTCATAGAATTGATTTTTCACAGGAAAATTATTTTTCAAGTCATATTAGTAATAGAGATGTGAAGTTAGTTCTTAAGAAACAAATTGGGTTGCTCTTGTTAATTCAGAAATGTCACCTACATTGTCTTTTTCAGGAAGTTTCCTTTTATCATTTCTCCTTTACGTTGACATTAGCATTTCATGTAATCTGATCACTTCCTCTCCTGTCCATCTACAGGTGGAATGTCATCTTTATTTCAACCAGAGCAAACTGCTGGATTATTGCAAGTCAAAGGACATTGTTCTGGTTGCTTACTGTGCTCTGGGATCTCAACGACCAAAACGATGGTAATGGCCACAGGGAGGTCTCTTTAAACACCCATGTCGCTGAAATATTTTCATTAACATAAATTCAATTTTCAGAAGTTCACTGTGACCTGGCTTAGGGAGAGGGAAGAATCTGATTTTCAGGAAGATCCCTGGGATCCCCAGGGACTACTCTGAGGATCCCTGGTTTAGAGTGGGCACCCCAGTGTGTTTGAATGCCTCCTACCAAATCACATTATCAGCCTTTGGAGTTGAGCATTTCTCTCTTTTCTTTCAGGGTGGACCCAAGCTCTCCAGTTCTCTTGAATGATCCAGTTCTTTGTGATGTAGCAAAAAAGCACAAACGAAGTCCTGCCCAGATTGCCCTTCGCTTCCTTCTTCAGCGTGGTATTGTGGTTCTGGCCCAGAGTTACAAAGAGAATGAGATCAAAGAGAACCTACAGGTGGAGTGGGGGCTGCGGGCATCAAGGCTCTTACATACCTAGAACCTCTCGTCTATTTTCTTCCCTGAAAACTCTCGGGGCATTTTTTGGTCAAGTCAGTCTCCCTAGCATTTCTTGTGTAGGCGAGCTTTCAGAAATGCTCTGTCCAACCCTATCTACAACACAAGCAGCAGCCTAACCTGGTAGAATTAGATTTAGAGAGTGCACAGAGATCTGGGTTTCATCATTAAGTCAGATGTGCACTGCATACACCTTTGGGAAGGATGCCTTTGTATGGCAAATTATTCATGGTTTTATTTTGTATTTACCTTGCATACTTGCATATTTTAATAATTATATATACATGTTATACATATATACACACATATAAATAGCTTTTTCACTTAAGGGAGTATTCCTGTCTTGCCTATTCACCTAGGCTGTTGAGCTTTTATTTTCAACTATGAGACCTTTATTGTATCATTACCTATATTAGTGCAAGATAAACAGGTCTCAATGTAGAGGATTAATATAAAGAGTATTTATTTAGCTCATGGTTCTGTAGTTTGAAATTTTTCTACAGCTCATCCTGAACTCAGAGTCATGTGTCTAAGTTGAGGTCATTCAGGTGTGTTCATGGAACTCATGTATATTTGGAAGCTGATGAGGCCTCTCTGCACCAGGTTATTGAGTGGACTGTTGCTTCAGGTTCTTTAGCTTCAAATAACTTTTATCCATTAGCTAGCTGGACCAGGTTTTACCTCACATAGCCCTGCATCAATGCAGCGAGTAGATACTTGGTAAGACTAACTTAGGCAAATAATTGGCATATCATTTCTTCTGCTAAATTCTAGAGGTTAATCCAAGTTAAGAATCCAAGTGGCTGAGGAGATTGCTAGATGTTAAAGCTCTTGCTAAGCAATCATGAAAACTGAAGTTGGAATGAAAAACTTCACATAAAATGCCAGGGGGCACACCTGCGATTCCAACCTTGGCAGGCTAAGGGGATCTGCAGAACAAGGTGGTTAGTCTATCACTGAACTCTGGGATTGATTGAGGGACCCTGCCTCATTAAATAAGGTGGAAAAGATGGAGGATGATTCTCCCAACCTTGGCAGGCTAAGGGGATCTGCAGAACAAGGTGGTTAGTCTATCAGTGAACTCTGGGATTGGTTGAGGGACCCTGCCTCATTAAATAAGGTGGAAAAGATGGAGGATGATTCTTGACATCAATCTAGGCCTTCATAAGCATGAGCACACATGTGTATGTACATACACACATGCCCACATTCAAAAATAGAAAAAGGAGTCAAAATTAAAGGGACGAGGAAATATTGTAGCTTCTAGACCAGCAGGGAGTGGCTAGGATGAAAATAGAAATTCCCTGGTAGTTAATGGAATTAATGGATTCTGGGAAGTGACGGTTGTGGTCAATGTGCCACATTTACGTATTCTCCATGTTAATTATCTTGCAAATACAAATGTATTTGTTGATAAATACCAAATTCTGTGTTTTCATTTTCTCTTTGCTATACTTTCATGAGGAAAAGTTTCTCTTAGTCCTGTTCCTTCATTCCTTTACTTCGTGGTTAAGGGTCATGTCCTTTTCCTTGTTGGGAAGGGAGAGTATATGCTTTATTATTAAAAGCATTCTTTCCAAATTCTTCTTGAATTGAAATGAAGTTTTTAAAATTATGTGAAATTAAAATTTAAATATGTAGTTTTCTAAACGGCTGTGCAGTGTTTCCGGAGAGAATAATTGCATTCATGAATTCTCTTCAATTGTCTTACTCATCCCTTCTCCTGGAATTACGTTGGAAAATCAGTCTTGCTGAACAAAGTGCCAATCATTTTGATTCCCTCTTCTCCTGTTTAAGAATACCATGACTATTCTGGATGGATAATGCTTATATATAAAATTTTGATCATTTCTTTCAGTGTTTAAGTTTCTAAGTCTTTAATAAGGTACTAAACTTGTTCATCAATTTAGGGAGAACTAACTTTTTGAGATATTAAGAATTTTAATCCAAAATTGTGATGTGAAGTTTTCAAACTTAGGTAGCCTTTTAATGTATTTAAATAGCCTTCCAAACATTTCCTGTCATTAGACTGCTGACACGTTAAGCTCTTTCTCTTTTCTTCCCTTCCTCCCTTCCTTTCCTTTCCTTTCTTTCTCTTTATCACTGTATTTGGTATATAACCAAGGACTTAATGATCTATATGTCAATATTTTAGCAGTTAGTGAAAATATTTTCTATGTTTAAAGTATCCCAACTTCAGCCACTGAGATCCTCTTCAAACAAAATCCTTTTTCCTTTGGAAATCATAAAATTAATATTTTCAGGTTTTGCCTTAAATTATGTTGATAAAACACTGTTCACATTTAAGTTCCTTGTTGCTCTGTCACAAATTGCTTTTGTACAATTAAATCTGATTCATTTGTATTTTTAATATCTTCAAATGTTCAGTCCATGTATCCTGAGACCTTTCTAATTATGTGATAGGTGTTTCAATTCGAGTTGCCTTCAGAAGACATGAAAGTTCTAGATGGCCTTAACAAGAATTTCAGATATGCTCCTGCTCCATTGTAAGTCACTCTGATGAATATGCTGCCTCAATTTATTTTAACTCCCTCCCTTTCAGTAAATGTTTATTCAAAATCCAAACATTGCATTAATTTTGTGAAATCTGCCATTGATAGGTTATATAACATTTGATTTTGAGTTTCTGAGTTATGAACATCTCAATGCTAAGGATCAAGTTTGTGTGGAAAGAGATTTATATCCAGGGGAAGAATATTCACAGAGAAGCCCTGTTATTGAAGGAATTCATAGTCATTCCAAGTCTTTGCTCTTCCTTAATGCTCTACAGTTACAATATCTGATATTGTACATATTTTTTGAATAAAGACAAATAATGAATACATAATCTTCATCTATTGGAATTTCAACTCATAACAAAAGGAAATGTAATAATTTCTGAAAGTGGGTAGACAATTTGTAATATTATACATTACAAAAACCTGGCACAAATATTATCCCTGGTAATATTATTTTCGTTAGTAGAGAAAAATGAAGGACAGAAACACAGTACAACGAGTGAGAATGGCAAGCATTCAGTAATCCTTGCAAATTATTTTATTTTGTATTGATGTTAAAAGTCTAGAGATCTTCAGGGCTGGGAAGATGGCTCAGCTGTTAAGAGCACTGGCTGCTCTTGAGGAGGACCTGGGTTCAGTTCCCAGCACCCATATGGAGGCTAATGTTCCAGGGGATCCAGTACCCTCTTCTGGCCTCCATGGATGTTGTACTCATGGGTACACTTACATACATACAGGCAAAACAGTAATACACATGGAACAAAATCAATACAATAAAAAATTTTTTAAATAAGCATAGAGTCCTACAAACTATATGATAAGCCCCTTGGACATGGAAGTCTGTATTATTAACGATATTATTTCATTATCTGAATCTAACACAGCATGCTGTGTATGATGGTCAGTGCAGAAATAATTAATGTTATAAAATGGAAGTGAATGTTTTACCTACAAGGTCTGCTCTCCAAATTATTTTCTTGATTAACATTTGGACTTGCATTGAGATAATGAATAAGAGAATATTTTTCCCCCTTCTAAGCTTTGGTAGATTCACTGATGAAACTAAGGGAGGAGGAAGATGTATATTTGACACTGTGTGTTCTCTTCTAGGCAAGGGAATTTAATTTGAAAATTTTAGTTATGTTATCCTAAAAACATTTTCCCTGTAGTCAATTTTAATGAAAATTAGAACAGCAGGTTCTGAAAATTGTCAGGAAACAAAATGATTAACTTAACATGTATGGAAGCATTGTAGATTCCTGCCTTTGCTACTGCAGAAATGTATTTCAGTGTCAGTATTTATTCATGTTTATTTTCCATTTTAGTGGCTCTGGTCATCCTGAATATCCATTCTCTGATGAATTTTGACATGGAGTCTGGTGTCATGACTTCTGTTTGAAGTCTCTGCTTGGAAAATGATGTGGGAGCTGTCCCAGAGGCTGCTGACTGGTCACATCACCACTGGTCAATCCAAGCTGATCAGCAGCTTACATTCAGCTACATCTCTGCCCACCAGCCTGGAGTAGTAGGCATTACATTTTTATAATGTTTTGAAATAAAAATAATATTGTTTTCCATAAAGATCCTTCTTTGGTATCATCTCTGCTGCCTGCTGGTGTGTTTCCTTGAGAGTCCTTATGTCTAAAAGTTGATTTGTATGGAAATCTGTGGATGGTTTTAGGAAACAATAATTTCATTTTGAAGTCACATTAGGGATGAATTGAGTAGAAATCTTAGGCTCTAGGGAAATACCAGTCAGCAGGTGCTTATGAGTTGGTACTCTTCTGGCCTGAAAGCTAAGGAAACATTGCAGATAGTCTATGATTCTGAGTGTGGAAACTGAGGCATTCTGGAAAAGACTGACCAACAATGACAGGGTTCCCTCCCAGCAACTCAGAACTTGAGTCCTGGGAATAGGGAACAAGGCATTCTGGAGACAGAGCTGGCCAATGAGGTGACAGGTGAACCAGCCTGGCAAGATAAATCAGAAGAGACATTCCCAAGAAGGAAGTGTTCCTGTTTAGGGGTTTTGACTGGGTTCATGTTTTCCACCATTCAAAGAACCAAAAGGCAGGAAAATTCTCAGACACAACAGAAAGTAACAACAGGTAACAAACTTCATAGGAATAAAGAGAAACATGTACTATACACATTGCACAGAGAGAAAAGTTCTCAAGTGGAGGGGAGGTTTGGAACTGACAGAGCTAAAGCTCCCGGGAGGGCTGGGGCTTATGGTGGTGATGTAGAGCCTGATGGAAAAAATCAAGGAAAAGAAGGATTTTAATCTTTGTTTTCTCCTTCTCCGTGTGTTTTTACCAGTAAGATATGGGTGACAGGTTTCTGGTTAGAATGAGGGCCCAACTAGCTAGAGCCATCCAGCTTATTTTTTCCCCCTTCATAGAAATTTTCTCTTTGTTCTCTCAGATAGGGACTTTTACAGGGATTTGTCTTCCTCCTCCTCCTCCTCCTTCTTCTTTTACTAACAAATGGTCCCCTGCAGTAAATTGCCTTTTTGCTGTGATCCAATGGTTCTGTGATGACAATAAAAATTTAAAATTTGCTACCAATGAGATGGCTGCTAAGAACCTTAAACTGTGGAAGGGATGAGATAAGAGAAGAATGAGGACAGTAAATAGGAATCTGCCCTCCCCCGTGTGCTTTATTACAGGTTTGGGTACCATCTGCTCCACTGAAATCTTTATTGTCAAACTGCTACATTCCTGTGATCTTTTGTAACCACCTGCTTATATGTAACTGTTTGCTTAACTACCACATATTCCCTACTTGCTTGCTTATCTCCCACATATGAGCTGTCTATAAATTTCCCTATAACCTTGCGCTGTTATGGAATGACCCAGGTGTCAGCCTGCTGCATAACTAAACTCCCTCTCCTTCACCTGATTTGGCTGCTGATCTCTTGACTTTCAGAAGTTTCTACATTTTGGAGGTCCCCAATGAGATCAAGCCACTATACCCTTGTTGGTCACATGGTCATCTCAATAGATGCAGAGAAAGCCTTTGACAATATTCAACGTGCATTTACATTCACAGTCCTAGAGGGAATTGGACTGGAGGGAACATACCTCAACATAATTAAAGCCATATACAACAAACCCACAGCCAACATCATTCTAAATGGAGAAAAACTGGAAGCATTCCCATTGAAATCAGGAACCAGAGAAGGCTGTCCACTGTCTCCACTTCTCTTTAACATAGTGTTTGAAACTCTTGCAAGAGCAATAAAACAAGAGAAGGAAATTAAAGGAGTAATAATTAGAAAAGAAGAGATCAAATTATCTCTGTTTGCAGATGATATATTATATCTAAGACATGCCAAAAATTCTACCAGAAAACTCCTAGAAATTATTAACATGTTCAGTAAAGTGGAAGGTTAAAAAGTTAATCTACAATAGTCTGTAGCCTTTCTATATATCAATAACAAGCAATCAGAGAAAGAGTACATGGAAACCCTCCCCTTCACAATAGCTGCAATAAATAAATAAATAAATAAATAATAAATAAATAAAATATCTTGGAATAAAACTGACCAAAGACATCAAAGACTTCTACAATGAAAATTTTAATAGATCTTTCAAAAAGAGATTGAGGAAGACATCAGAAGATGGAAGTACCTCCCATGTTCATGAATTAGAAGAATTACTATTGTGAAAATGACCATCTTACCAAAAGCTATTTATAGATTCAATGCAATGCCAATCAAAGTCCCCAGGACATTTTTTCACAGAATTGGAAAAAACCATCCGAGATTCATATGGAGGCACAAAAGGCCTCAGATAGCCAAAGCAACCCGGAGCACTAAGAGCAATGCTGGGGGGTTTAGTACACCAGATTTTAAATTTTATCACAGAGCTTTAGTCATAAAAACAACATGGTACTGGCACAAAAATAGACATGTAGATCAATGAAACAAAATTGGAGTTCTCAAAAGAAGAAACAAAGATGGCTAAGAAGCATCTTAAAAGGTGTTCAACGTCACTAGTAATTAGGGAAATGCAAATTAAAACCACTTTAAGATTTCATGTTACCCCAGTCAGACTGGCTAAGATCAAGAGAACAAATGATACCAAATGTTGGAGAGGATGTGGGAAAAGGGGAACACTTATCCACTGCTGGTGGGACTGCAAACTTATGCAACCCCTATGGAAAGCAGTGTGGAGAACTCTTAAAAGACTACAAATGAACCTACCATTTGACCCAGTTATACCACTCCTTGGCATATACCCAAAGAACTCATCCTATTGCAGAGACACTTGTACATCCAT